CTTCTGCCATCTGTAGAGGCAAGGTCCAAGTACTTTTGGCTCCGGTTTTTTTTCACAAATCCACTTGAGCTCGTCAGCAGACTTACCCTGAATCAATATGCACCTGCTCCGGCATGCAGAACATCGGTGTGTTCGAGCAAGCTTGTAGTGCATAAACACACACAATCCCCGCAAAGCTGGCGAATCCACTAAAGTTCCTGTATCCAGTGCCTTGTGCTGAATGTGGGCCTGAAAAGCTGAGCTAGACTCGAAGAAATCTTCCTTGATGCCTTTCCTAAAGCTATCCAGGTCCATGGTGTGAAACTTGCCAACAAAGGGAGGAGAAGACGGGGTCTCCAGCCAGCGGCTGCATGTCTTCAGCATGATAAGTATATACTTACATATATATATATATATATATCATAACTTTAAATTGTATTATATTATATTGCACAAGAACATACATCCATAGGTAGCATAGATAATATATGGCCGACAAAGAACTCTTAAAGATACTATACCCATATATATATATATATATACATAATATGTAATATATAATATAATATATCCATATAATATAAGATATATAATTAAATACCTTCTGAAAGAAAAGCCCCCAAGACCTGGCTAAGCTCGCGTCAGCGTCAGCCAGCAGGCCGGGATGGGTCTCTGAAGGCTGACTTGGTGAAATTCGCCCCTCGCCTGCACTCGCCTCTCTCCGCTCTTGGCATCAGTGTTGGGAGTTTGGGGCATTTCGGGGCCCCTAAACCCTAAACCCTAAACCGTATGCATTTTGGGTTAGGGGCTGCTTGGGGTTTAGGGTTTCAGGACCTTTTTGGGCTCTCGCTCTCGTCAGGTCGACTGCGAGAAGGCAGCGAAGAGTGGCCCCAAATGGGAGAAGCTGGAGGTGCTGGAGCCTTTGGAGACCCGGCTCTATCACGAGGCCCGGGCCCTTAGAGCGCTTCGGGGTTCATGTAGCACACATCAAAACCTATCTAATATATATATATATATACATACCCTTATGATTCACATGGTATCGAAAAGATAGTATTTATCGAATACATGACATATGATATTTAGCATATAGTATAGTATGTAGCTCCAGTGCTGCCGCCTTTCCCGAAGGCTTTGAAAGAGCGTCCGGAGATCTTCGTGGAGTGAGATCATCTGCTTCGGCCTGTGGCCGATATAGTTAATGGCATGAGTGACTCCTTCAAGGAGATGTTAACGAACTGACACGAAAGCCGTCGGCGGCTTGCGTGTGCTTAGTTGCTGGCATGGCGGCGGAGCCTCGAAGCTGCGGAAAAGAGGTGTAATCAAGTTCCCCTGCATGGAAGCAAACGATGTAGGCTCGCGTGGCATGTGTGAGAGCGGCCTGAGGAACCAGGAGATGCACCTTTTTGCGAGGGCTCCGGCAGCCTCTGCCGTGCAGGAGCCTAAGTCGGCCCCAGCCTGCTGGTGTTGAATATGTTGCGTTGGAAGTCCGGGTCAGCCAGGTGGTGCCCTCTGCGGAGTTTGCCACAGTTGCCGCAGCCGTTCAGGGTGCTGGCGATGGGACTCTAATACAAGTTAAGCCGGGGCCTTGCCTGAGTAGCACTGTCCGAAGGTCAGCTTGCTTGCGCTAGACATGGAGGGTCCACGACTGGCTTTCCTTGCGTGCCCGTGTCGGCCAGCCTGACCCGCAGCATTGGGCTACAGATTTGCGGCCATTCTACCTCGACTCAGAAGGGGCGCGAGGTGACTGAAGGGCTTTGCTGATCCGCTTCTGCGTGAAGCTGCTTGAGCAGGTGCCGCGATATGGATGGGGGAGCAGGCCCCTACCCCTCGGAGTCCTCCACTAAGTGGCCGGCCAATGCGGACGGCCACATGCCTAGAATTCTGCGAAACAGTGTTGCATGAAAAAGACACAAGCGGTGTCCTGCCGTGTGGACCCAGGCTACTCGCTACTGTCTCGCATCGGGCATGGAGCCTTTGCGACAGTGTATAAGGCAGCTCATCTCCAAGCCGAGTTTATCCTTTATTCCATTCTGACATCGATTGTCCAAGGCACGGGTCAATCAGGGCCCTGCTGCGGGTTCCGAAGTGGCGGTGAAGGTCATTGAGTTGGAGGAGTGCCCTGACCCTTTGGCATACTTGGGACCGTCTGTCCCAAACGCGCTGTTTCTGTTTTCTCTTGCTTCTCTCTCTCTCTCTCTCGTTCTCTCGTTCTCTCTCTCTCTCTCTCTCTCTCCCTCTCCCTCTCCCTCTCCCTCTCCCTCTCGCTCTCGCTCTCGCTCTCGCTCTCGCTCTCGCTCTCTCTCTCGCTCTCTCTCTC